TTTTTTTTTTTTTTTTTTTTTTTTCTATTTTTTTGCGTGTTCATTTGGCCATGAACCAATTTCTGTGCAGAGCGCAAAAAAAAAAAGATAAATATAAAATAATAAGCATCCAATAGACGCGTCGAAAACAAACTGTAAAAAAATGTAGTTGACTTTTAAAGCTTATATTCAGCAAGTCATCATGGGAGGGGGAGAGCAAGAGATAGAGAAAGAGAGAGAGAGCGAGCGAGAGAGATGTGCACATACAAAGTATAGATAATAAATTGACATAACAAGCAAATGCGTTAAGGTGAGCAAATGTTTAAAGATTGAAAGATTGATGAATGCGGCGTCGCTAATTGACTGATATATGTGCAGAAAACAAACAAAAATGTATACACATATATATATAAAGACATACATATATATATGTGTGACTGACTGATTGATGAAGACATTCAAAGTAAAACTTTACGCCTCGCGTGTGGCCCGAAACAGCAGTAGAAAACGTAGAAAGAAGCTAAAATCTTTGTTGTATCTTTTTTATGTCTCACATAACTTTAGAGAGCAAAAGTGTGTGTGTGTGTGTGTGTGTGAAAGATATATAAAATATACATAAACTTGAAATTAGATGCACAGTTGTTATTGTTAGTCTTATTGTTGTTGACAGTCGTTAAAGAGACAAAACGCAGACACATTGTCTAGCCAATTGTGGCCAGCAATTCAGCTGGCCAACTGGCTGCAGCTTATTGGCCTACAATTTCGAAATCTATCTGCAACTCACGTCGGCGGCTTACACATGTTCGAGAGCAAAAGAAACACGAAACATAAAAATATGCATAAATAGATAAATTTGTTGAAATTTATTTCAGCGCTGCTCTTTGAAAATTTTGTTTTTAATTTACGCCCAATTCTGGCATTTGACCTTTGACTGAACTGGTCGATGAGCTCAGCTGTCAGCGTTGCATTAACCTAAATTAAATGCACATTATAAATTATCCAAATATTTTACATAGCGCTTTAGCGGGAAGCAGACGACTAGACGGCATTCATGTAAATGAAATGCATAAAAATACTTTAAATAGGCGACTGAAAGATGCTGTGGAAATGTCAGTCAAATCTTCCAATTGCAATTTGATAAAGAGAGTTCTTAAATTTCTTCTGTCTAAGCTCAGTGAGTGCAAACAAACTTTGCTAAGCTGCCTCATTAGCAGCAATAATGAGCATGGGCACGAACATGATACGATAATAATCATAATGAGTATTATGATGGATGAGTATGATTAAAATTATGCATGGACTTATGATTTGTCTGTTGAAGATAATCAGGCGATTAACCCACCTAATTCTAAATATTAACTAATTAAATAAATGTGAACTATATGCTGAACATATAGTAAATACTATATCAATTCAGATATGACATCTAGAGCATAGAACAGATCAACTCTATAAATAATGATTATAATATAATAAAAATATTTGAAGGAATATAGGCGATAGTTCAATAAGTTTATCGTCAGAGAATCATAATTATATTTTAGTTATACCCCAGATCATAAAACTCTCGAAGTTCCACTAATTTCATCTCTTCTTCTCTGGACAACAAAGGTTTAGTTAATCTATGAGCTCATTTCAAGACAGAACAGGTTTGCTGCATGAATAAAAATTAAATTCAGGAGTAATCAAAAACTGTTTTAAGCCAAAGAAAGAAGCAAAAGATGTAAACAGCTAAGTATTTAATATGCTTAGCTAAGCACAAAGTAAACTTCTATTCTATTCTTTTTTTTTTTTGTGTGTGTGCAGAATATTGAAGAATATATTTCTCAGACTATAAATTGCATTTAAATAGAATGATGTTAAAATAAGCTTTAAAGTAGCTTATATAATCTGAGATACACTTTTTTGGTGTATAGCTATAGAGAAATATATATATAATATATACATGTAGATGTAGCTAAGCAGCTCTAAATGAATGTAATATATTGAATATGTGAATATATGAATATAAACGATTTAAAATATGCTCGCACGAAGAAAGATCTCCAGTTTTAAATAGAGATTTAATTTGAAAGATTTCAATGATGTTCAGATTTTGCTATCTTTGAGCAGGCAACACAACAAAAGAGAATACATTTAAAAAGAAAGTTGATTTGCAAAAACAAGCAACAAAACAAAATCTCAACAATTTCTAAGTAAACTCTTAACGAGCTGCTATAAAACGCAATTTTGCAAGAAAAATCATTAAAACATTGTTGAAAAGAAAGGCCGCCGCAATCTAGCCTGAATACCCCCAATGTGCGTGTGTGAGTGTCTAAATAAAGTCATATGAGTTTTGTTTTATGCCATTTAATTGAATATTGTTGCCTGGGGCAACGAGCCCAGCAAATAGACAAACAGACATGTGTGAGTGCGAGTGTGTGTGTGCATGTGTGTGTGTAATAGAACCTACTAAGCGCGACACCCTATCCCAACAGCCCACACTTGGCTATAAAATGCGAAGTCGTAAAACAAAATAAAATGCGACTATTTATATAGCGACATGCGAATTTATACAAGATACACAAATGTATCTGTATCTTGTTGTTGTTGTTGCTTGTTTTGTCTCACGCGAGCATTTGGTAACTGAATAATGTAAGGCACAAGCCATGTTTAGAGAGAGTCAAACAACTTGAGCCCATTTGACATCATGTTCCTTAAAAAGCATCAAATTGCGCATACGCCGCATTGCCGGCTCATCAAATATACACACATATATACATATGTACATATTCTTGTGTGTGTGTGCTTGTCACTTTATACATGTATATGTTTTGCTTCTTGGCAGACCCTCGATGCCTTCGCTGCGACATTATAAGGGTGAACTGCGCCGCGACTTCTTTGGCGATGTGGCTGGTCTAATTGGCGTGTAAGTATTACGTTTGCATTTGGCAACGTTTCACTCACACATTCTGCATCTCACCTCACCTCACCTCACCTCTACACCCACCTGCACACAATTAGGCACGGTCCCAAGTGGGAGGCATTTCGCCAGGAGGTGCAACAAATTTTGCTGCAACCGCAAACGGCCAAGAAGTACATACCCCCGCTGAATGATATAGCCAGCGAGTTTATGGTGCGGTAAGTTAGTCGTCAGCTCCTTGGCACCTGCCCAGCCTCAGCTCACATTTACCGTTTTATAGCATAGACGAGATGCGCAACGAGCAGCAGGAGCTGCCTGACAATTTTCTGCACGAACTGTACAAATGGGCGCTCGAATGTAAGCCACGATGATGTTTATAGGCGCAAATAGTTGGCCACATAAAAAAGGATTTTTTTCTCTTTTTTTCCCGCTCTCTCCTGTTCTTTGTTTGGCCTACGTCCTTGCAGCGGTGGGCCGTGTTTCGCTGGACACACGACTGGGCTGTTTGTCACCGGAGGGCAGCGCTGAGGCACAGCAAATTATTGAGGCCATCAATACGTTCTTCTGGGCGGTGCCAGAGCTGGAGCTCCGCATGCCCCTGTGGCGCCTCTATCCCACGAAGGCCTATCGCAGTTTTGTGCGCGCCCTGGATCAATTTTCTGCGTAGGTTGCGACACGCCTCCCATTTCACATCACATTTATATACATATATCTTGCATTTCAATTGATGGATTTAGCATTTGCATGAAGAACATCAGCCAGACGATGGACAAGGCCGACGCGGACCAGGCCAGCGCGATAGCCAAAAGCGAGGCAGACATCTCCATTGTGGAGCGCATCGTTCGCAAAACCGGCAATCGAAAGTTGGCAGCTGTCTTGGCCCTGGATCTGTTTCTCGTGGGCGTCGATACGGTGAGTAATTGTTGCCAATAGTTGCATAAAGTCGAAAGCTTTCGCGAAATTGCACCACTTGAAATATATGTATATATATATATAGTATCTAGTATAGCTTAAGGGTATTCGATACGAATTTGCATTCTGATTGGAGTGGCGCAGCTATCTGATTTGCATTCCAATTTGAATGACTTAAATTGGCTTTGTTTGCACAACTCGAACTTAAGTTCTGATACGCCATTTCCCTGATTGATTTGTAATTCCTGAAGCAGGATTCCAGTCAATTATTTTATCTACTATTTACTTTCATTTGACCCGTTAGTGTTTACAAGGGATGATATAGGTTTATGGTGATATTTAAGAGTATATTGACAATAATAATATAACAAAAATTAGTTTAAAAATTTATATAAATAATAAACAAATTTGGTATGCAATAGTATTAAAAAATCTATTGAAATTACATTATCATGAAGAACATAATTTAATTTTTATATTTAAAAATGTCAAATAATCAT